CCCTATGCAAACCCGCTCCAAAGCCGGTGTCTTCTGCCCTAAACAAATCCTTAATCTTAACACTTCCGTTCCCATTTCCCCATTACCCCCAACCTACCGTAGTGCACTAAAAGATCCTAACTGGCATGCTGCTATGTGTGATGAATATAATGCCTTGATAAAGAATGACACATGGGAATTAGTACCCCCCTCCTCCTCACAAAACCTTATCACCGGTAAATGGCTTTTTCGACATAAATTTGGCCCTTCAGTTGAGTTATCCAGGTATAAGGCCCGCTGGGTGGTTCGCGGTTTCAACCAACGTTTTGGTGTTGACTATGACGAGACTTTCAGTCCCGTTGTCAAGCCTGCCACTGTTCGTCTCGTCCTCAGCATCGCTCTATCTCGAGGATGGCCCATTCATCAGCTTGATGTCAAAAATGCGTTTCTTCATGGCCAGCTGCAGGAGACCGTCTATGCTAGCCAGCCTTCCGGGTTCCAGGATCCCACTCGCCCTCACTATGTTTGCAAACTCAAGAAGGCTCTATATGGTCTCAAGCAAGCGCCACGCTCTTGGTTTCACAGATTTGCAGGTTTCATACAGACCATTGGGTTCAGAGGATGCAAGGCCGACACATCCCTATTTGTCTTCTCTCAGCCTGTGGGCACGGCCTACTTATTGCTCTATGTTGACGACATCGTTCTCACCGCATCCTCCCCAGCACTACTACAGAGTATCATACAGCAGCTTAAGGCTGAATTCGCCATGACCGATATGGGTGATCTGCACTTTTTCCTTGGGATCAATGTTCACCGCACAGCTTCTGGCCTTTTCCTCCACCAGACTCAGTTTGCTCACGACATCCTTGAGAGGGCAGGGATGATTTCCTGTCGACCTATATCGACCCCGGTGGATACAAAGGCGAAGCTGTCTGCGTCTGCTGGCACGGCACTCTCTGACCCCTCTCTTTACCGGTCCATCGTTGGTGCGCTGCAGTATCTCACCTTCACTCGCCCTGACATCACTTATGCAGTCCAGCAGCTCTGCCTACATCTCCATGCTCCACGTGATGCCCACCTTACAGCCATGAAGTGTGTTCTTCGTTATCTCACTGGTACTGCCACTCATGGCATTTACTTGACACGATCTGCCACCGACTACTTACAGGCTTATTCTCACGCTGATTGGGCAGGCTGTCCTGATACGCGGCGTTCCACATCGGGCTACTGTGTTTTCCTAGGCGACAATCTTGTTTCATGGTCGTCTAAACGCTAGGCCACCACTTCTCGCTCCAGCGCCGAGGCTGAATACCGAGCTGTAGCAAATGCTGTTGCAGAGACCAGCTGGATCCGAAATCTTCTCCTTGAGCTCCAACAGCCACTCCGTCGTGCGACAATTGTCTTTTGTGATAATGTTAGTGCAGTATATCTTTCGTCAAACCCGGTACAGCATCAACGCACCAAGCACGTTGAAGTTGACATACACTTTGTGCGTGATAAGGTGGCGCTCGGTCAGATCAAAGTCCTGCATGTTCCGTCATCTTCTCAGTTTGCTAATATCTTCACAAAGGGCCTGCCCTCACTCTTATTTCTTGACTTCAGAGAAAGCCTGGGTATCCGACCCCCATCACTGCCGACGTAGCCGGGAGAATGTTAAATATATATATAATATATTTAATATTATTGTATTATTATTGTTACCATGTTTGTATAGGTTTCCTATTTGTATAGGTTTCCTAGATGGTCTCTCCTACCATAATTAGGATTGAGACTTTTGTATATATACATGTACTCTCCTCACAAATTATTCAATGAAAATAATCCTTCTTCACACATCATATTTTCAAAACAAGTAGCGGCCTAGTGTTGAGTGTAAACACCTTAGCTTCCACTTTCTGTCATGCAACACATAAGGTCTCGGAATCGATCAGAGACTTGATTGGAACAACAAATGATGATAGTATACGATATTTCTGGAACAAAGAGAATATTAGTCTAAGATTTAGGGGCTGTTTGGCAAATTCTGAATAGGTAAGTGTTGAACCAGTAAGAGGTCTGAACCATTAAGTGTTGAACCAGTAAGAGGTCTGAACCATTAAGAGCTAGTATATTACTTAACTATTCAGATACAAATGTCTGATCAATTCAGATAAGAGGTCTTAACCATTCAGACTCTGTATAATACTTAACCATTTAGAGGCTGAAACAAACAGTCTGGACCATTAAGTGCTGAACCATTCAGACATCTGAACTATTAAGAGGCGGAAACAAACAGCCCTTTATTTTATTTTACAATCATCACCTCAAAATAAATATTGTGCGAAATACTTTTAATCTCGAACCCAATACAATTGTAAAATTCATTTCTCAAAATCCAATACTCATATCTAGATAGGACAAAAGTGACATATACCTCATACTGTTGTTTTCTCAAGCTTTGCTATATACCGAGTACTTCATATTCGTTCATATTATCAAACCCAATTCAACCTTCCGGGACGGGTGTTCAAGTGGAATTTCTTTACATCTATAATGTTTGTTTACTAGTTTTTCTTTCAATTAAAATTAATAAAAAGTACGGAGTATAGATTCATTTGTCTTTTTATTTTTGTTACATAAATTATTGACAGACAACTGAAAAATAAAAAAAATACATGATTGATATTGATTTTAAAAAGTAAAAAGGAGTGCAAGTCACAAAAATATTATACTCCGTCTATTTTAGTCTAATTGAAAAAAGAAGAATTTACTTAAATAGCACTAAAACATAATGACTTTTACTAAATAGCATCACATGTATTTTTTTCAATGTAACACATTTACTCGTTATCCATTAGTCATTATTCAAGCAAATGTTCACCATCACCGGACATTATTGAGTGCTATTTAGGAAATAAAATAATTTAAGTGCTATTTAGGGAAATGACTTAAGTTTTAGTGCTTTTTAGTGCAAATATTTCATTGAAAAAACTATTTGACCAATATTATCATAATAATCATCAAAGAAGTTTGGTGATGCGGAGTGCATGCTTCGTTGAGTTTGTTATAATAAATTAAAATATCTCGTCTTAACGAGGGTTTCAAGGGGGCAGCGTCCCCGAGCAGGGTTCAAGGGGCGGCAGCCCCTGACGGGGTCCAAGAGGCAGAGGCCCTGGCTGGGGTAATTTATTTTGGACAAAGTGTTGTGTGAAAAATTTACTTGAATTTTTAATTTTCAGAACTTACGTATATTAGTTCTCCTGAAAAATTGCATCTTTTCTTTCCTGTTTAGCGCAACTAAACACGATTGGTTTTGCACGAATAATTAAACGCAAAGTTTGAGACAAAAGACGCGACTACATGTTACTCCTTTCCCGCTTCTTTAAATCCCGGCAAAGCTTTGGCCGAAAAACATACATTAAGAAAATTCATATCAGTTCATACCCGTTCTTGTGAGATATTCGAGTTTTATCCGATTGATTTTTGGATTGAATATCCAAAATAATCAATCTAAAAGTGCTACACGACTCTCAATTTGATCCGTGTTATCTTCGTTATCCCCAATAAAAATGAGAAAAAATTTAAAAAGTAGAGTATACATTTTTTTAAATAAAATATGAATTTTATAACATAAAAAAATTATTTTAGCATTTTTTATTTTCTTAACAGTTTCAAAATATTTCCAACTATGTCCAATTTCTTCCAACTTTTCTAGTTTTTCTAGCTTCTCATTCCAATTTCTTTCATCTCATTCCCATTTTTTCATTCTCCTTTCAATTTCTTCCAAAATTTTATTTTTTTGTTAGAGTGTCATTCCACATCGGAAATTCAAGAGCAAAATAATCGTTATATAAGCTCTTGAGTTGAACTAACTAATCGATTGGATTCAATTTTTTAATGTGGTTCAACCCAAGTGTCTTATTGCCCAATCCAGTTGTCCATACCACATCCTAAATTCTATCATGGAATCAGAGCAGGTTTTGGCCCACCTCGTTTGTCAAGGTGTCCGTCTAGACGTTCATTCCTAGCGGCCCGTTAGTCTTTAGCCCAATTGTCCGTATGGAGTATATGTACCCAACCGATTAGATTCAAAATGGCCCGATTGTCCACTTGAGGGGAGTGTTAGAGTGTCAGCTCACATCGGAAATTTATGTGCAAAATAATCAGTATATAAGCTCTTGAGTTGAACGTAACTAATCAATCGATTGGATTCATTCTTTTAATTTGGTTTAACTTAAGTGTCTTATTGCCCAATCCAGTTGACCACACCCCATCCTAAATTCTATCATTTACCAATCTTTGTACTTATAAAAAAAATTAAATACTTCCTCTGTTTTAAAAAGATATTCCCATTTTAATTTTGAAGAAATTTAAAGGATAGATATTTTTGTGTACATTTTCCAAAAATATCCTTGATGTGATGAGTAAAACTAGGATGTAATGTATAGATTTTTAAATATAATGTATTCCCTCCGTCCTAGAGTATTTGTCCACTTTCATTTTTACACACCATCCAATGCACTTCTTTAATCCATTTTATCTTGTAATTTGTATATTAAAAAATTATAGAAATTATATATTAATAATCTATATGTTAAAACAAATCAAACAAGATCACACATGACTATATTTAGACTTATACATTGAGAGAATTTGATGAGTCAAAGTGCTTAGATGAACAGTTCCAAAAGTGAAAAATGGACAAAAACTAGGGGACGGAGGGAGTATAATGTAATAGGTAAGTTAAGAATTAGTAGGGGTAAAAGTGATTCATTAATAAAAATTGGAAGGATTTCGTGAGCCAGGTAAAAAAAAGAAAGGGAAATGAGTTTTTGGGCGAATGGAGAGTATAAAATGATACACATTTCGTTTCGAATTAAGTCATGTCACCTTTTGCATTCATTATTTAGAACAAACCGATACCAAAGCTCTTTTTTTGAAGGTTTTTGCATTGGTTATTTAGAAATAACTGATTCAAAAGCTCCTTATTTAAAAAGTAAATTCTTTAAATAGTTCTTTATAACTCGAGGTTTTCCATGCATATGTTTAGTTCATATTTATCAAATATTATATTGAAGATCCTTATTAGTTGGGTACCATTCAATATTTGGTCCTCCGTCTTTGTGCCGTTAGACAATGACTAAACGTAGAATGGTAACGGGCCAACTAATAAAGACCATGCACATAATATTTGATAAATATAGATTAAATATAAAAAAAACTCAATTATAAAATACTATCTAGTGAATTTACTCATTTTAAACAAATTTAGTATTAAAAATAATAAATATGAAAAATGTATGATTGTATTTTATTTATAAAAAATCAAAATTTGTATACCATAAAAAATGGTTTACCAAAAAAATTATTTTCTTAGCAACATAAGAGCTTCATATTTTTTATCGATCTCCTAAATAGGAGTATAGTGCTAATAATGCCAATATATAGTACCAAAAAAGCAACGAGATACCACCACACAATGTCATTATGTTGCATAGCAAACTCGTATTTTGAGAAAAAAACATGGAATTCTTATTTTGAAGGTAAATGCTATGTTTTACTTCTATTTGGTCTCGTATTAAAAAAAGGAATTTTTGGTAAATTATTTTTAGTGTTGTACAAATTTTAACTTTATATATATAATTTCAATCATACATTTTTCATATTTATTCATTTCTATATTAAAAGTTGTTTAAAAAAGTAAATTATCTAAATAGTCTTTTATAACATGGGATTTTCCATATTTAGTCCATATTTATGAAATAGTATTTTTCGCGGTCCTTATTGATTAGGTAGCATTCCACGTTTAGTCCTTTCTAACGGCATGAAGATGGAAAGATAGACGGAGGACCAAGCATGAAATGGTATCCAATTAATAAGGATTTTCAACATAATATTTCATAAATATGGACTAAAAATGGAAAAGCCCAATTATAAATGAATATTTAGAGAAATTATTCGTTTTTTAAAAATGCTTTTGCATCGGTTATTTCTAAATAACTAATGCCAAAGTTAAAAAAAAGTTTTTGTATCTGTTATTTCTAAATAGCCAATGCAAAAGCCTTTTTTCATCGGTTGTTTCTAAAGAAACGATGAAGAATTTTTTTAAAAGAGCTTTAGAAGTGGTTTTTTAAACCAATGCAATTTGCTTGGGCATTGCATCACTTGCATTTGCGTCGGTAAAAAATGATGCAAAAAATCTTAAAAAGTTGTTGCTAAAGCCTATTTTTGTAGTAGTGATTAACATATTATATCCATTTTTACTAAGGATAATATACTTCTCCCGTCCCAAAAAGTCTTTCACGTTTCAAAAAAACTGTGTCCCTTAAAGTCCCTCCCATTTCATTTAAAAAAACACTTTTACTTCTCACTTTTCATATCATACCTATCACATCATACCCTTTTCCTAATCCTTCTATTCGTAGTAAGGGAATTCCGCCCCAAGCTTTTCCCGCCCAAACCACATTCATTCAGCACCATTGATTTCATTAGATCTACGGTTGTTTTTCATCTTTGTAAACTACCAATTTAAAAAATTCTATTTAAGGTATCGCAATAATTAACTCTCACTTATTGGAATTAATGTGGCATACTAATTCATCATGAAATATTATGTGGTATTTAAGGTATTCGAGGTTAATGAGAAGTGAAATTTGCACTAAATAGGACTAAAACATAATGACTTTCCTAATGTAAGACTTAAATTTTTTTATTCCCTAAATAAGACTTAATAATGACCTAGTGGGAAGAATAATGCCCAGTAATGATGGTCATTTACTTGAATAATGACTACTTGATAATGACCAAAAGTCTTACATTGGGAAATAAAAACATATGGTCCTATATTGGGAAAGTCATTATGTTTTAGTCTTATTTAGGTAAATTTCTCCAATGAGAACGTATAAGAATTAGAACGAGAAATTAAAAAGAAAAATATATTACTATATGCTCTAATTAAAAAATAAGTTTTGAAAAACAAACGTCATTTTTAAACCTTATAAAGAAGGTTTATAAGGTT